TAATGTAAAACACTGAAATGAAACATTTACAAACATTATAGTGAAAGTGTTATAATAATACACGTTTATTATAAACATAATAAACGTGTATTTTAGTTCCCATCATTCCACAAGAAATCCTTTAAATTTTAAAGTATTCAGAATGGAGTAGGAAGGGAAAAAAATAAGTATAAATTAGTGCTGTCAAACGATTAATCGCGATTAATCGCATACAAAATAAAGGTTTTTGTTTACATAATATATGCATGTGTACTGTGTATATTTATTATGTATGTATAAATACACACATACAGTATATATGTTGAAAATATTTACATGTGTATATATATTTATATTCTTATGTTTTATATTATATATAAATATATTTAAAATATAAACAACATATTTTTCTGAAATGTATACATGCATGGATGTGTATTTATATATACATAATAAATATACCACAGTACACTCACATATACTATGTAAACAAAAACTTTTATTTTGGATGCGATTAATCGCGATTAATCATTTGACAGCACAAGTATAAAACATCGTAAAACGTGTGATATTTCTGTCATAGCTAGATGTTGTCTTGCATTTTATTTTCATTATGGATAAATGCCAGATTCACAAAGCAAGAAACCATAACTCTCAACACAACTGTAAAGTATTTGCTTCAGATTTATGTTTAGTATTATTATTACTTCAAAAAGAAATCTCCTCCAATAAAACAAAGCTTTAAAAACAAACCCACTTTATAGAGCAGTTTAAAAAAAATTTTTTTTTCTTTTTCTTTTCTTTTTTCTCTGTATTGCCTATTTATTTTTATTCTACAATGTCTTTTTTTTTTTAATTTAGGTTTTAATATAATAAAATAATACAATATAATATAATAAATTACTGCTGTGGTGGAAATATACACTACACTAATAAACTTGCGTACCTCTGCCTCAACACCAAATAATTACTAATTAATTATAAATCAACACAATTGTTAAGAATTTAACCAACTAAATATAGCTTCAAAACATACAAGCAAATAGAAAGTAAAAAAGGGGGAAGAGGACAATTACAAGTGATAAACAAAAGAGTGCTTTCAGTAGCTATCTGAAAGTTTACACGCAATCATAGTTATGGGTTTTTCTTTTTTCCTCCGCATTATTGCTGTTTGATTATTATTATTATTATTATTACTAATGACATCATAGAGAGTAGCAGGCTTAACACACTAATGCACAGATCTATTTCCACATATCAGATGTTTTGTCCTGTTCTGAAAACTGACTCTGTTTACATCAGTTTCCTATTATAAAAGTATTCGGAGAAGCAAGTGCATTTAACCGCAGCCGCGATCGAGCTTCAGGACAACTAACACAGAGCGCACGTGAAAGTCTGTCAGTGCGTGAGTTTTGTGAATCTAATACGCACTGCTTTCCAAACAGCAGACATGAAAGCATATCTAAAGTAAAACACTGAAATAAATCTCAGTGTCTCACAGCGCATATTCTGTGCAATGAAGCCTCCACGATTCTCTCTAGCGCACACACGTTTTTATATGTGAGACAAAACCAAGCTCAGAATCTAAAATTTAAAAATAGTGCATGCATTATTAAATGCTCGCTTTGGTGTTTTGCCTCCCTCCGCATCTCGATGCATCGATGCGCTCCTAGCGCTTGTGCGTGTTTTGTGTGCTTAATGTTACTTGCATCATATAAGTTGCTTTGGAATATGAGCAAAGCATGTTTCATATGATAAAAAGTGACTTAATGTGAATAATACAGTGAGCAGAACTTGCAACAGCAATGTTCAAAACATCACAGAAAACCAAATGTGTATGTTTGCAAAGCATAACAACTCACATGCGTTAATAAACGTGAGGCCACTGACCCTCATGTTGAACCTGGTCCCATTAAAGTGTGCCTATCTGTGCGATATGCTAGTTTAAACCTAAAATTGGCTTTCTTTTGAAGGTTAAAGGAGCCAGAATATTGGATGACTCTCATTATAATGTTCCAGTTCCTCCAGTGGAGTTTAGTCTGAATGAAACCTGATCTTCTTGTGTGTTTCACTCTCAGCTGTGCATGTCACACTTGCATCAGATCCTGTAAACATCGTGTCTTGAGCGCCGCCCGCTAACATCGTCGCTAATTAATGCGATTGGAGATTTGTTTTTCTTGGCACGAGTCGGTTGTGTTCAGCAGGGGATTATGGAAAAATGACTTTTCTGGATGGAGATCTCCTCCCTGGTGCTGTGAAGCAATCAGTCCACCGTCTCCAGAGGACTTCATTAAGCCACGGGACCCTCGGAGGAGATGTCCATCATAAGCCCTCAACTCACACTGCATTACAGTAAATGTGAATTAAATAGTCGGTCAGCAGTGTGTGTGTGTGTGTGTGTCTGTCTGTCTGTGTGTGTGTGTGTGTCTGTGTGAGTGTGTATATGTTTGCGCTGTTTGTGAGTCAGCGCTGTATCAGTGGATACTCCCTAAACCTCCCCATGAAGCACTGCTCTTCTTTTGAGACTCGACCAAGCACACATTCATTACTACAGCCACATACAAACATGTTTTCATCCGAAGGCTACAGTTCTTCCATTAGCACTGACCTCACAGCACAAATAAATGGCAGGTCGCAATCTCCATGATTACTGTTCAAAAGTTTAAAAGAAATTAATGCTTTTATGAAGCAAGGATGCAATAAATTGGTCAAAAGTGACAGTAAAGACATTTATGATGTTACAGTAGATTTCTATTTGTAATAAATGCTGTTCTGTTTAACTTTCTATTCATCTGTGAATCCTGAAATATAAAATGTATCAGTTTCCGCAAAAATATTGTGCAGCACGACTGTTTTCAACATTGATAATAATCAGAAATGTTTCTTGAGCAGCAAATCAGCATATTAGAATGATTTCTTTTCCGACAGGTGCTTGTGGTGTTCGGCCAATCACAGTGCACTGGGTCAGCTGGCCAATCAGAGCGGACTGCGCTTGTCAAAGGAGGGGGCTTTGTAGAAAACGAAGCGTTTGAGAGAGGCGGGGCATAGAGGACCTACAATAATGTACAGTATTTGAAAAATAATGTGTTTTTTGAACATTAAAGCATGTCAACATATTCTGTTACACCAAATACACAAAATAATGATCTTTAAAATAGCATCATATGACCCCTTTAAAAAAGCTTTACTCCAAACTTTTGTCCACTAGTGTATTTTTTAAAATGTATTTATATTAAGCATGATTCTAATTGCCTGTAGGTAAATTGAATACACAGAAAAGCTAATCAATTTAATGACAGAACAAAGATCTAGCTTTTATGACGTCTCCTTTTTGCCAGCGTTGGTTTGGCTCATCATGTTTTTAGATCTGTTTTGATCGCTTGATCTGTGAGAGCAGAGATGGAAAGCGTTGTGATTGCGGTGCTGTGTTCAGTGCTGGTACAGACTCCACGGCTCCTCTGCTGTCTTGGCCCGTGGCCACCTGGCAGCTTTAGAAAGGTGCCCTTTTCTGGCCCACAACTCCGAACCGCCAGCCGGTGAGTCCCGTCCACTCATTCATCAAACGCCAGGGGACTCACAACTCCCTCACGGCAGCGAGACGGAAAGAATGCTTTCTCGTCCCATTCGAATCAATGAACGGTAGCCATTAAATCGCATGTCAGTGTGGAAAATATGTTTACCGAGTCCAAGCTCTCGCTCAGATGAAGTTTGTTTCTTCATCAGATTCGGAGAAATGTAGCATTGCATCAGTGTCTCAGCAATGGATGCTCTGCAGTGAATGGGTGCCGTCAGAATGAGAGTCCAAACAGCTGATAAAAACATCACAATAATCCACACCACTCCAGTCCATCAGTTAATGTCTCACAAATCAATTAACGTAGACACAAATCCATCATTAAGACAAATAACTGTTCTTTCTGGCCAACATAATCTATAATAACGCTTCCTCCAGTGAAAAAAGTGGTCTGGCTCGAATCAGGGGAGAAATCTGCACAGATCAAGCACCGTTTACAAGCCAAAACAGTCCAAAAAGAGCTCTAAACAAACATGTGGCTGGATTTTGATGTGAGAAACAACAGTAGATGGACTTTATCACTGGATGAAGTGTGAATGAATTATTATGGATATTTTAGCCAGAAGCAACGGTTTAAAGTTAAAGCATCTTAATGGTAGCATGTGAAGAATTCCTGTGTTTTGGTATGTCCGATTATAAAGTATTTAGTGGCTGTTATGATAAGCCATGTCATTTCTTTCTTCCGTGTGAGTGAATGAACTGGCTTTTGGAGGCTGTTGTGCTTGACCTCGAATGACTCGAAGGAAAAATGCTGCTTTTAATAAAGACTGAGATAAGGTCGTTCCTTCACAGGACCGTTCAACACAATCGTTTTATTCTGCTGGAAGATCTCACTGAATCCTGAAATAGACAAACAGTTTTAGCACTTCAGATTTAAACAAACGTTACAATGAAATTTTTTTATATATATATATATATATATATATATATATATATATATATAT